TAGCAATTTCAGTTTAAAATTGGTATGAAATAGTTCTGGGGGCACTATGTTGAAGTACAAGAATTAAAAATTGTAAATAATCTCTTTGTACTATTATAAACACACAGTTAACACTTCAAGGTATGTTCTATGTATACACAGAATTCTAACTAGTTGGGTATGTTACCTAGGAGCTTTCTCAAATATTCTGTCAACAAAGATTATTATTTTAAAGTGTCTAATTTTTTAGGATTATTTGATTATTTAATTATTATTACAATTATTTTAAGATTTGCTATAGGGCACATGGACTCACCAGGGAGAGACAGAGAGAGAAGTGAGGGGAGTGAGAAAGCAAGCTACCAAGTCCAGAACTTGAATCATGGTAAGCCATGTGGGAGTCCAGGGCTTTGACCACCATGCCAGCATGAAGATAATTATCTCATAATAAAAAGGAAATAAAGTATCAATTCATGCTATAACACTGATCAATCTTGAAGGCCTTATCATAGCATAAAAAATTACTCACAAAAATCAGTTATTGTATGATTCCACTTATATGAAATGTCCAGAATAAGCAAATGTATAGAGGTCAGAAAATGAATCAGCAACTGCCAATGGCTTTGCGGGTGGGAGGAAAATCGAGAGTGACAGCTAATGGGAAAACCATTTCTTTTTGGAGTGATGAAAACGTTCTAAGATTGACTGTGGAGATAGTTATAAAACTCTGTGAACACATGAAAAATCATTTAATTGCCAAGTTTTAACTGATGAGTCATTTAGTAGGTGAATTGTATCTCAATAAAAGTCTTTTAAAAATACACATCTTTAAGAATTGCTCAATCATAATCTTTTGACACAGAACCTACATTTTGACAAGTTCCATAAGGTTAACTCCTAAGGAGCCAATCTAGCATCAGTCTCAAAATTTGTGAACCATGGACCAGCAGTTAGCATAATGGCTATGTTGCTGGACTCCCACGTAGTCGACCATGGTTTGAGTCCTGGACCCAGTGGCTTAAACTCACGCCGGGTGCATGTGTGTACGTGTCCAAGATCCCGAGAGGAGAATGGAGGAGAAGGGACTGCGGCGTGGCCATCCTGCCTGGGGGATGATCTCTCACTTTCTGTCTCGCTGTCTCTGTCTGGTAAGTACACGCAACCTATAGCAAAAACCTCTCTAAGAAATAAAAGAGAAAAAAAATTTGTGAACCATAACATCAAACAACTTAAAAATATTAACACAACAGCTTACTTTAAAGGACCAGCTTATAAATAAGTTGCACAGTAGTGTGGAAGAAGAAGAGAATGTTTAAAACACTTATATCCTCTTGGGTAAGTCACATGAAGGCAAAGATTGTATTCCTTATTCAGTATTCCATATTGCTTTATACATAAGGTATGCAAATATTTTGGAAATAAAAATATCAAGCTGTTCCTCTGAGAGTACACAGGTATTTTTAGGACACTATTTCTATACTTAAAAATACAGTATTATAAGACATCCATACAAAAGAACCGGTTTGTATTCTACAAAACCAGAGCTAAAATACATTCCTGGAGCTCCTCCTGGTGGCTTAACAACCACTTCTTTTTAAAAATAGAAACCTGAAAAACAACAGCAGCAAAAAACTTGGGCAAGTTGGTGGCAAGGTGGTTAAGGTAGGTGGATCCCACGTGTCTGACTACATGGTTTGAGTCAAGGCCCGCGAGCTTGAGAAACAGATTGGGTACATGCGCATAAGTGTCCAAAATCCCAAAAGAGAAATGGAGGAGAGATTAATGTTGTTGTGCCTGTCTCCCATGAGGGGCTGCTTTCTCATTTTCTCTCTCTCATGGGGGCTGCTTTCTCATTTCTCCCGCATCCCACAAAGCGAGCACACGTGCCCTCTAGCAAATTATAACAAACCAACAGACAAAAAACTGATTATTATGGGAACAGGAACAAATACAATCTTATATGTAAACAGTTTGATGATACGTTGAGTAATAATAGGTATTAGCTCAAATTTGTGCAATTAAAACATGACAGACAACATCATTAACTGGTTTTGACTTTCCATATAAATTTCTCATTTTCAAGCTTGAAAGTTAAAAATTCCAATAAGCCATTGTGAATTTGAATCTAAAAGATGCTTTAGTTTCTAGAAAGAAAAAAATAAATCTCTTTAAAACAGCCAGTGGCGTGGTGAATGTGGCTGGATCCCACATGGCAGACGATGTGGCTCGAGTTACAGGCCCAGTGGCTTCAAAACATGCTAGGTGCATGTGAGTGCATGTCCAAAATCCCAAGCAGAGGGAGAGACGGAAGAGAAGAGATTGTGGCGTGACCGTCCCTCACAGGGGTGCTTTCTCACGTCCTCTCTCTCTCCGCTAAGTGCACATGCCCTCTAGCAAATTAAAACATGAGTTATATAAATATCAAGGGAAAAGCTTACTTTAAAAATCATAGTTAGGGGTGGCCCCATAGCACAGTGATTAAGCTCTGTACATTGGTTGACAGTGGCTGGAATCCCAGCCTCAGTGGTGGATTGAAAAACATATCATGTGCATGACAAGATGGAGAATTGGAAGAGATGATACTACAGTGTGACCTCGCCCTGGGGGGTGGGGGTTGCGTTCTTCCTCTCTCTACTTCTCTGTCTCTCTATGCTGATCATGCATGCCCTCTGGTACAAAAAAAAAAAAAAGTTTAAATAATTGTATTTAAAATGCTTTAGAAATTTGGGTGGCATAATGGTTAAGGTGTTGGACTCCCACATGGCTCACTACAGTTTAAGTACTAGACTTGGCAACTTGCTCTCTTTCTTTCTCCCTCTCTCTCTCTCTGGTGAGTGCACATCCCCTATAGCAAATTAAAACAACAACAACAACAATAATAAATGAAACAAAATAAATCTTTTAAAAAATGCTTTAGAAATTTGGTAGTTTTTTTCCCCCGTTTATTTCCTTTCATTGCTAGAAAACTTCACAACTTCTGTTGCCTTTTCCTAAAAAATTTTCTTTTTTTTTTTAACTTTTTTTCATTGTGGCAAAAAATATACATAACAAAATTTACCATTTTTACATTTTTAAGTGTATAGTTCTGTGGCATTAAGTACCTTTACATTTTTGTACAGAAATTTCTTTCATTTATCTATTATTCAGAAGATTTAAGAGATGATACCTATTATATTATTCAGAATATCAGTAATTGGGATCTGAAAATTTCACAGCATGCTCTTCTTAAATACTGAATACATACTAATTGAAAATAAAGGTAACATTAAGAAAACAAACATATCATTAGATTCTATCAGCCATATGAAAACATGTTAAAATATAACATATTTTGCTGACTTAGAATTCATTTCAATCATTTGTTCACTCAAAAAAAAAAAAAAAAAAAAGAGAGAGAGAGAGAGCAGCTTAGTAGGTGTTACACTTCAGGCAGTTCTGAGGGATTTCCACCAGCCCCACAGCAGAGGCTTCCGTTTGCTAGCCCGAGACTGAGGCACCTCGGTGAGCTCTGCCACCCAGATGAAGCCCTATCCTACTCAATAAAATCTGAATCCCTGCTTTAAGGATGAAGTAGGGGCTCTTCAAATCTGCCCTTGGGTATCTGTCTCAGCACTAGGAGTAGAAGCTGCTTTTTCTATCTGCCATTATTGTATTCTTTTTTTTTTTTTTTTCTTGAGAGGTTTTCGCTATAGGGTGCGTGCACTCGCCATACAGACAGAGAGAGACATAGAGACAGAAAGCGAGAAGTCACCCCTCAGGGGGGATGGTCACACCGCAATCCCTTCTCCTCCATTCTCCTCTCGGAATCTTGGGCACGCATGCACACGCGCCTGGCGTGTTTTAAGCTACCGGGTCTGGGACGCGAACCGTGGTCGACTACATGGGAGTCTAGCGACATAGCCATTACGCTAACTGCTGGCTCACCATTCTTGTATTCTTTAGAGCTCTCTTTATCCATGAAAAACTAATTCTCTGAAAACAGTTAATAATTACTAATATTAAATTTCCCTTGTCCAAATCAGTGTGTGGTTTTTATTTCCTGATTCAATGCTATTACAACTTCCTTGTAGACTGAGTTACAGTAATCATTTTCAACTATTCCATGAAAGATTTTAACTAAAGTGCCCAGTCATTCCTACAAGATCATCTTACAGCAGTGCTTATACATATGTATGTATCTAAGCATGCATGTGTATATGTAGTCCAAAACAAAGTCCCAGATAGCAAAGTATGTAGTTAGCAGCATAAAGAAAATGTCATATTCCTTCAACTAATATTATTCATGGCTTTATCACTTAAATGCTACAGGCCTTAATTTTTTCATCTGAAATATGACAGAGTAGTCTATGAATGACTACATTTCTTTCTGCTGTATGATTTTTATTTATTTTAAAGTCTCAAATACAAAATTTCCCCCCATTTTAATAAAGTATATCACAAGTGTCTGCTGCTTTTATATACAACAGTAAGTGGTTCTGCTTAGGTAGTTCAAAAGTTACTTCATTTATAACATCTCTTTTTATTGTTTTTTGTTTGTTTGAGATTTTTGCCATAGGGCATATGTACTTGATGAAGAAAGACAGAGAGAGAGACAGAAAAAGGGAAAGTGAGAAATCATTCCTAAGTGGGGATGGCCATATCATGATCCCTTTCCTTTAATTCTCCTCTCAGGATTCTGGACACACAAAAACCTGGTGTGATTTTCAAGTCACCAGGCCCAGAGCTACAACTGTGGCTGGCAACGTGGGAGTCCAGTGCCTTAATCACTAAGCCATCTGAAGGCCTCATCAGCTTTATTACATCAATTTTTTTAAAGGGCTTTGTTTTCATGTAATATATCTACATAATGTTTATGACTTCTCTAAAGCTTCTTAGTTTTAGGAGACTAGTGAAGCAGAGAACAGCCATGTTCCTTAATAATAAAAACTATCCTATTAGTATCAGGATGACTGAATTCAGCTGCAATAAAATCAAGTCAGAATGATTTTTTCAGTAATTCACAGTTTGTAACATGATCATACCTGTTTATACTTTTGCAGTGGTTTCTTTTCATGTAATTTCTTATCTCCATATTTCTTATATGTTAAAGGTACTCCATATTTAGCAGCAGGCTTTGTAATCTTCTGTGCAGGCACAACAGAAACCACGTTTTGTCCAGAAGCTGGTCTTTTAGCTATATGAAAGACACAAAGAATTTTTTTCAGCAATTCTTTTTTTCTTTTTAAGAGAAATTTTTGCTGTAAGGCACATGTGCTCACCAGAGAGACAGACAGCAAGACAGAGAGTGAGTGAGAAATCATTCCCCGGAGAGGATGGCCATATTGCAATCCATTCTTCTCCATTCTCCTCTCAGGCTTTAGGGCAAACACATACACATGCCCAGCATGAGTTTCAAGCTGCCTGGTCTGGGACTCAAACTGTAGTCAGCCACGTGGAAGTCCAGAGCCTTAACCACTACATCACCTGCTGGCCCTTTAGCAGCTTTATATTAAATTTTTAATTTAAAAATTCTTCAAGTTAGCACTTTTTCATTTTTACAATCATAGACAGCATTTCATTTTATTTTATTTTAGAGAGATTTTTGTTATAGGGTATGCGTATTCGCTGGAGAGATAGAAAGTAAGAAATCACACCCCAGGGAACCAGCAGTTAGTGTAATGGCTATGTCGCTGGACTCCCACGTAGTCGACTGCGGTTCGTGTCCTGGACCCAGTGGCTTAAAACTCACGCCAGGCGCGTGCGTGTGCATGCCCAAGATCCTGAGAGGAGAATGGAGGAGAAGGGATTGCGGTGTGACCATCCCCCCGGGGGGTGATTTCTCGCTTTCTGTCTCTATGTT